GTTCAGGTCCCAGCCCACCCTAAATGCCAGGCGTGGTGGCACAGGCCTGTAATACTAGCTACTTAGGAGGTTGAGGCAGGAGGATTGCAACATACTGAGACCCAGTCTCAAAAAAAGAAAAAGAAGAGGGAACCAGCAATTAGCGTAATGGCTATGTCGCTGGACTCCCACATAGTTGACCGCGGTTCACGTCCCGGACCCGGTGGCTTAAAACTCACGCTGGGCGCATGTGCGTGCGTGCCCAAGATCCCGAGAGGAGAATGGAGGAGAAGGGATTGTGGCGTGACCATCCCCCCTGGGGGGTGATTTCTTGCTTTCTGTCTCTATGTCTCTCTCTATCTGTCTGGCGAGCACACGCGCCCTATAGCGAAAACTCTCAAAAAAAAAAAAAAAAAAGAAAAGGAAGAGAAGGGAAAGGGGTCAGAAATTAGGAGGCAACTCAGAGAAGTCTCAGAGGTTCCATTTCATGTTTCCTCATTTCAAGTTTTATCTTGTTAATACCTAAAGTTTGTTCTCTTAGAATACTATCATTTTCCTTTGTGGAATTTTTATAGTTTATAATTACATAGCTAATTTTAAAAATATGTCCACATAGACCAGCAGGTGGCGTGGTGGTTAAGGTGCTGGACACTCCCATATGGCCGATCACGGTTCGAGTCCTGGACCTGGCGGCTCCCTCCCCCCCCACCCCCGTCTCTCTCTGGTCAAATTAAAATAAATGAATGAATAAATAAAATTAAATAAATAATAATTTTAAAAAATTGTCCACATAACTAGATAGTAAATTCTCTAAGGGGAAAAACTGAGGGTTTTTTTTTTTTTTTTAATCCTACACTGTATAGTGTGGCCAACAATATGTGGATATGAAATAAATACATGACACATAAGTGAATGAATGAAGGGGTTCTGTTTCCCCGATTGCATTTGTTGCTAGAGTTCAGAGCTAATTTTGTGATTTAACTTCAATAAATGTTCAGGAATTCTTAAAGAGCATTTGTGGTACTAAATTCACTGTAGGCTCTTTCCCCCCCACACCTACTTCTTCTTTAATTTCCTAATTTATCTAGTAGATTTGCTTACATCACAGGGGATTATACATTTTAATCCATTTGAAGATTAAGGGGAGGATATCGATTTTAAATAAAAACTTGGTAAAATACAAATAAAATGTATGCAACAGAAACACTCTAAACGAAATTTTTTAAAGTGTGGGAAAAAAAAGTCTATCGACAATAAAAGATAATAGACATATCTTTCACCATATTGTTTGATGGTCCCAGTTCTGAGATGCATTAACGTTAGTAAAAAATAATTAACTAACCATAAAACAGGATGCTGTTTGAAAGTCACTAGTAAGCAGCAGGAGTTTGGTTAAGATCACACTTAGGAAGCTAAGGATGATTAACCTTTGCCTAGGTTATAAAATGGCCCATTTGAGAACTGTTGCTACTGGATATATTACCTGGATATCAATTGGATTATTGAGTGAGAGGTTTTACATGAGGTTTAGTATGATGATATATATCTGGTTACAAACTGTTTATGACAAGCGGAAAAGCCAATAAAAGATTAATGCCGATCTAAATAGATTTTCTTCTTTACTTGGATTGCAGCTAATTTATGCATATATGACTCAATACCTGTATATTTAAAAGAGATGCTAGCTTATTATTGGTAATGAAGAGAGACGGCTGTTGAATATGGAAGTGAAATTGCCATGCTGACGTTGGAGCTCCTGTTTAAAGGGGTTTTCAGTTCAGTGAGATTTTTGATTAGAATTTTTATTTGGTGCAAACTTTACCAACTGAACCTTAGTTTAATTTAGTGACATTACTGATCAAAAGAAAAGTCACCCTCATGAACTTGCAATGGATTAACATGTATTTCCTTGCAATTACAGCTTTTTTACTTTGATTTGTTATGAAGTGCACATCCTGTGTCATTGTTCTTTGGATTTTTTTCTTTCTTATTTTAAAGTAAGTTTTACTTATTGTTTTTAAAATATTTCATCAAATGTCTTCCGTGGATGAGGGACTGTATCTCATGCTGCTTTTGCGTCTTCCGTAATAACTAGCACACATTAGGCTCTTAGTAGGGACTCAAGAATTCTTAAGAGTTTGAATCGTTTCTTTAAAAATTATTATTTTATTTAACTCTATTTATTTATTTATTTAAATTTGACCAGAGAGGGACAGAGTGAGAGAGAGAGGGAAAGTGAGAAAGCTAACTGCCAGGTCCAGGACTTAACCACCATGCCACCTGCCAGCCCTGAGTTTGAATCTTTTTGCTTCTCTTTCTTTCTTTTTTTCTTCCTTCTTCTCTTCCTTCCTTCATCAAGCATTAATTGAGTAGCTTCTACCTGGTGGCTCCTTGCAGGGAATTGAGACAAAGATCCTCACACATGGATCTCGTGTCTTAAGCTAAATAAAGACGGAAGCACTCGTATATTGATGACACAAATGATGCCGCGAGACTAGAGAGAAGCTTTCCCTTCTCTCGGGTGCATGTCATGGTATGACTTGGCGAAGGTAAAATAAGAGAATTCAATGAGAAGACATGCACATTGGACACCATCTGTCCATGGTCAGCAGAATGAAGCCATGTGGAGAAGCTGGTCTGTAAACTATAAAGTGCTGTGCAAATATATCATGATTGTGTATGATATCCACGTCACTCCCCACCACCACCGAATGATGAGCAGGGGCATGATCCTAGTCATCTCTGTATCTTTGGCATAGTATGGGCATACATAATAAGAACTTGAAAATGTGTTGGGGAAAATATTGAAGATTTATTTTTAGGAGGGTAATCATCATTACTAGTACATCTACTTGTGTCCCGATGCTTTACTTTGTTGGGATGCTGAGAGAAGAAACCCAAGGTTAGCCTCTGTCTGTGAGCGCTCTGCTTATGCTGGGTGGAGCCGCCCGTGTGGGTTGAACCTGACTGCCTTAGCTTTTCACTGAACCCTAGGCCAGAGGTAGGAAAAAACAGGCTAAAATAAAACACAGTCAACCAAACCAAAGCAAATGAAATAGTATAGAAACCACTTGTGGTTGCATAGATGTGGTCAAAGATGACAAAGGTTATTAGATCACTTGATTCCACCTAATTTAAACTTCTGAACTTTGAAAGTTTTCTGTATAACATCAAGCTCCGTTGTATTTACATGACCCAATTCTAGAAGGAAAAACCTTCCTTTGGTTTGAACTCCTCGAAGCTCTACAGGTTTTCCATGAGGCTCCTATTTTGTTGAGGAGATAGCTTTCTCCTCAAATGTACTGTGGACAGGTACTGCAATATATGTTTTATGCACAAAATCTTTTAATCCTGTACAGAGCCCCCATGGCGTCGGCATTATCATCTTCCCCATACTTTTAGATGGGGAAACTGAGGCTTAGAAAGGCTCGCTCAGGGATACCCGGCACTAAGTCATATAAGCACTTAAGTCAAAAGAATGGAAATCTCTGGCTCTGAAACCTGGATTCTTTATTATTGTTCTTTTAAAACATGCTTTTGTTGGTTGCATTTTTTTAAAAGACTTAAAAAAAAACTATTGTAACTTTTTATTTTGAAAATTTCCAAGCGTCCAAAAAAATGGTATTTTATAATGAACATCTATGTTTTCAGTTGAAACAGCTGTTAACATTTTGCTACATTTGCTCTGTTTCTCTTTATACACACCTACTTGCGTGTGCATGCACAGATACACATGCACATTTTTTCCGGAACCATTAGAATGTAAGCTGTGAAGTTACTGTTGACACTTTACCCCTAGATATTTCAACATGCATTTCCCAGGAGGAAGGGCATTCTTTCACACCCACAATACCATTATTCTACCTAAAACAAAATAAAACAAAAAAAAGTAACTAAAACCTATAATATCATTTATATCTAGTCAATATTCAAATCTCCCTGGTTTTCTCAAAAATATCTTCTATGCCTACAAAACTTATGTTTGGGAAGATTACACTGAGTTCTCCCTTAGATTTTACGTTTGGGGGCTTCCAAGGACACAAGGTCTCTGAGCTCAGAGTTGCACCATAGCCAGTTAGGGTTAAGATTACAAATTCCTATCTCTGGTTTCACATTTAAAAAAAAATTTTTTTTTCCCCTACAAGGTGCATGTGCTTGCTAGAGAGAGACAGACAGCGACAGAGAGAGAAAAAGTGAGGTATCACCCCCTCAAGGGAGATGACCACACTGCAATCCCTTCTCTTCCATATTTCCCTCAGAATTTTGGGCACACACACATATGCACCCAGTGTGTTTTTCAAGCAGCTGGGTCTAGGACTTGAACTGAGTAGTCAGCCATGTGAGATCTAATTTATTATATGTAGGAGTCCAAATTCTTATTTCAGACACCTATTAGCTTTATGATGCTAGGTAATCATGTAACTAACTCATCACCCAAATAGGAACATAGACAGAAAGAAGCCCATCATAATCAGCAGTTTATCTTCAAAAAGATGCCCTTTACCTAAGATGTCAGGCAGAAATTGAGACTGTCCCCAAACTTATAGTACTGTACCTTGGCAAACTGCCCAATAATTACAGCTCAGTTTCCTCATCTAATACAAGACCACTGTGACACTCAGATGAGATGAAAGTGTTCACCAGAGTACTTTCTGATGAGAGAGTGATAGATATTAGCTGTTATTATGGACTTTATAAATATCAGTATTCATGGTGGCATCACAGTTCATGTCATATTCAGGGAAACATTTTTTTTTTTTTTTGACGGTGTTCCAGTACTTGTCCTTCTACTGCTACCTGCACTCCCCTAACTGGTAGATTGAACTGTGAACCTTGCTTCCCATTGGTCCTTGCTGAGGCTCTTGAGATAAGTCTACTTATAATAGGGATAGCCTTGGCTTATCTGCATTTCATGGAGTACTGATCCTGAGGCTGCAAGTGTGTAACTTTAGAAAGTGATAGAGTAGAGAGTCAAATCTGCTCTCGTTATTCCTACGCTTATCATGCTTTCTACCTAGCAGGAATTTCATAGGAATGACAATGGCCTCAAAATCCCAGCAAATGAATAAACGACACTGCCCATGACGGGGAGGACCATCATGAACAACGCCTTTCAGAGACCATCACAAAAGTTGCTACCTCCTACGACAGCTGACACACGTAAGGCAAAGGCATACTAGGGTGAGAGACAGCTTGGTATTCAGGATTCCCCACTAATCTACTCCTTCCTCTAAAGAAATCAATTCCAGAGCTCCGGAGAATAGAATCTGTGTTCACCACCCAGACCTCTGAGGTTAACCTTTCACACTCCTCACCCACCCACCCAATAGCTGCCACAAAAGTGCAGAAGTGGGGCCTTGTTACCTGCTGCAGGGGCCCTCCCTCCATTCTTCCCTCCTTCCAGTGGGAGCTGTCATGAAAACTTCTCTCCACTTCGGTTAAGGATACGTGGTTCGGAAGGGATATATAATGTCCGCACACATGTACACACCGAATGTAAACAAGTCTTTCTACAAAATACAAGATCTTAGCGAGCAGAGACAGCATCATAATCAGCAGTTTATCTTCATTGTCTAGGACAGGACAGGACACTGAATATCCTCAATCAATATTCATCAAATAATGAATGCGTCAGTGAAAAAAAGGAAGAAGGGGAACTCCATCTGACAATGGACACCTCTACGGGGATCTTCTAGCTGGTGATGATTATGTTGTAGGTGCCCATGATGGTTTTAATCAGCGGATATTGTTTTGAAAACAAAAAACAGGATTCAGTGTCCTCTCTCCCCATTGGGATAAACTGTCATGACAATGCCATTGCCATTACAAATGCCATCCCCAATACAGGACGTGACGCATAACCAATACTAACACATGCCATTTGAAGCTTTAACAAGACAGTCCTCCTTCAAATTTATAACAGCCTATGTTTAAAAACCTGACAAAACCAAAATGTGTTCTCCATAAATTATAGTGGCACCATTTCTGCTGCCGAAGTGAAGGTTGTGTCAGCATTTCCATTATTCTGTGGATCACTGTGTTTCAGGGCTTTAGTTCTTGGCTATAAAAATGCACCTTGGGTTTAAAACTGGCAAGGAACACCTCAGCCTTGGAACACATTTGCTTCACCAAATTTTGAGAGAAAAACCAATTCGTTTATTTCTCCTTTTGTCAATGACTTTTGTGAAGAGAAACATCCATATATTTTATTTCCAATGTCCTCTTTAAAAAAAAAAAAACAAAACTAGGTAAATTTAGATTTTTACTGAACCATGGTAGAGTCTTGTTGTGAGAGGATTTTTAAAAATAAGTTTTGTATTTAAAGATACTGTTCTAAAAAGCAGCCAGCCCCCTCCTCCCCTTCTGATTTCATTAAGAAGGGTTAACAATGGCTTTATTTTGACATGGGCAAATCAGATGGCTACGGTTCATGGTGAAATTTGATTATGTGATTAGGTTAATAACCTCTCAACAACAGACCTTATTCTGTAGCTACTTGTTAGGTATAATTTCCCTTTGGCTTCCTGGAGAAATCATTTAGTATAACTGTTCATACACTTAATTAAATTTCTTTAGTTTCATTTAAGCATGTATTTATTTGTGGTCCCTTGGGCAAGTAACATTTTTCAATATAGCTCTTGATGGTGTTATTAGAATACCAATTTTCAGAAAGGGACCTGCGACTATTAGTTTAGTACAATAAAACATTTAATGGTTTTAAGGTTTTCATCCCTCTTGCTATAAAGCATAGCTTCTCCTAAAATCAGAAGTTACTCTTGTCAAGTTTTATTGATTTTTCTTGGTTTTCCTATGGAGATACACACATATGTCTCTGTCTTAATGATATCATTTGATTTTTCTCAGTAAGCACCTGTGCTACCCAACCACTAGATGGGGAGAGAAGTGACAAGGCCCATCCTCAGGCATGGGGAAGATGTCCAGAGAAGGCAATGTCTGGGCAGAATCCCAAAGCATGGACGGGAGTTAGCTAGACTTAGAAGGAAAAAATGCACTTTAAGTGAATAAGATGTGAAATATTCTTTTTAAATTTTTAAAAGAATTGCTTAATTTTTATTAATCATTATTATTATTTTAATTTGACCAGAGAGAGAGACAGGGAAAGTGAGAAAGCAAGCCACCAGGTTTGGGACTCAAACTGCGGTTGGCCTGTAGGAATTCCCAGTGCCTTAACCACCACACCACCTGCCGGCCCTGCCGGCCCTCTATTCTTAAATGAAAAGTTGAAAAGTATCACAAAATAATTTATTGTGTAGGTTGAAGCTATTACAATTTTCGGATGGGAAGGGATATGTAAATTAATGACTTAGCCACTATAATTATTGTTTTTACTTTGTATTTTTGAACATCAGTACTTCTGTGGGAGCCAGCCCTATAGTGCCACAATTGCTACACAGAGGAAGCTGAATCCCACATGGCTGACCAGGGCTGCTATCCAGGCCTGCTTAAAAACCCAGTAGGGGTGTGTGCGCATGTGTCCGGGATTTTGATGGGATGGAGAATGGGAGGGGAGAAAAAATCAGGACTTCTGTACTATTGAGAGCATTAAGGAAGCAGCAGTGGCAGGTGGCCTGGCCATCCAGGGATTCCTCAACCACGGCAGAGAATGTTGCTGCCACTCAAAGTCACCAGGCCCTGGAAGCGCCCCTACTGAGACCCAGATCATCTAACAACACACATAGTCAGAGCAGGGAACGTGCATTTTCAGGAGAGGGAGAGACAAACTTTTCTTTTAGCTAATTGGCGTGACAGTGCATGGGATACACATGCTCCTGGGAGAAAGTGTCTGGTGTCTAGGACTAGCACAGGCAGAGGAAGGTCTCAGTGAACATTTATTTTTACTGTATTTAAATAAGTAATTATAATTATGTTATTATGTTGAATTGGATAACGATTGCTAGGCTTAAAGGGACTACACACACACACACACACACACACACAGATGCAGAGTCTTCAAAAAGTTTATGGGAGGAGCCAGCAGATAGCATAGTGGTTACATCTCTGGACTCCTACGTGGCTGACAACGGTTTGATTCCCAGACCAGGTGGCTTGGAAATCACACCAGACGTGTGTGTGCATGCCCAAGATCCTGGGAGGAAAGTGGAAGAGAAGGGATTGCAGCATGGCCATCCCTCTGGGGGGTGATTTCTCACTTTCCCTCTCGCCATCTCTGTCTGTCTCCAGCAAGCGCATGTGCCCTAAGACAATACCCTCTTTTTAAAAAAGTTCATGGAAGATGCATATTAAGAAAAATACTATTCATGGATTTCAATTTTATTTTTCACCCAAATAAACTCAGACTTTAAGTCTGTTTTTCACGAACTTTTGAGGTCTTCTAGTATGTACATAATAGTAACGGACCAGCCACTGGTGCGGTGGTTAAGGTGGCTGGATCCCACGTGGCTCACTACATGGCTGGGCTCCCAGACCTGGTGGTGTGAAAAACACTCCAGGCACTTGTGTGTGCGTGCCTGAAATCCCAAGAAGAGAATAGAGAAGAAGGGATTGTAGTGTGGCCATCTCCCCTAGGAGTGCTTTCTCACTTTCCCTCTTGGAAAGCACACACGCCCTATAGCAAATTTAAAAACTAATAATAATAACTATTATTATTAAAGGAAAGGTCTCAAGGTGATTAGGCTGCTCAGATCAGGTAACTGTAGTGTCCAAAGCACCACCTTCCAAGGTATATTCTAGAACCCTTTCTCATACCAAGTGTAGAGGCTAAATAATCAGGGAGAGTGATTTTATTCACCACCTGCAGAGCAGAGGCAGTGGGAGCTGAGGCACCAGATGTCAAAAGTTTAGCAGGTGCTCTGAACGTGGGGAGGGGAGTCAAGGAGCGTTATGTTCTCTCTGACCAGGACGGATTGGGGTCGAAGGCCTGAGGCTGTCACCGCCACTCCCTGGACAAGAGGGCCTGAGAACCAGCTGCTTTCACTTGCTCCCAGGCGCAGGCCTAGTGTGACCAAGCCCACTTCTTGAAATAATCAGCTGCCAGGCCTCTGGGGCAGCAGGAGACAGGAGGCCTCCTGGCCCTGAGTGTGAGGAGTAGATCCTCCAACCTGGCCACTAGGAGGCAGGGTCACATTATCTAACTCACTGGCAGACACACACAGGTGTCCAGATGCTTTAAGAATATCTGCTCTGCACCTAAGGGTAACCCAACACCTTGGTTCATCAAGGATAATGAAGAGAGTTTGCAATTGAATTCTGGGTCTGCCACTTACTGTCTGTGGACACCTGGGGGAGTCACTAATCTTCATAAGCCTCAGTTACCTCATTTGTAAAATGGGGGCAGTGATGTTTGCCTCTAAGAGTTGTTGTCAGGATTAGAAATGACACCTTGGGGGGGCCAACAGATGACGTTAAGGCACGGTACTCCCACATGGCCAACCATGGTTTGAGTCTCAGACCTGGAGGCTTGAAACACTCTGGCACATGCGTGTGTGTGTCCCAAATCTCAGGATGAGAATGGAGGAGGAAGGATTGTGGCATGGCCATGCCCCCAGAAAGTGATTTCTCACTTTTTCTCTCACTGTCCCTCTATCTGGTGAGCACATACACCCTATGGCAAAACCCTAAAAAAAAAAAAGAAAAAAGAAAAAGAAGAAAGAAAAGTGATGACTGGCACATGGTAGGCCCTTGACCAATAACAGCTACACTAATGCGTAAAAGGATGGTCATAATATGCATCCCATCCATGCTCCTAAATCCCCTCCCACATACTACTTAGGCAGATAAAATCCAGTCTGGGCAGCTCAAGAGTAACCACTAGAAACTTGAACCCTTGATTAGAAGCCCCCAGCTGCTCACTTTGGAACACACTGAAAGGGATGAAGAGAGCCGGCAGGGCCTCCACATGCCAGTGACCTTGGCAGGGTTCCGCCTGAAGAGGAGCGATGGCTGCCCGCCCCTGGGAAACAGTACTGTGATGTGTCCTTAACCCGCCGGTGGGAGAAGGATGCAGAACTGAGCTTGGGCCAGGATGAGAGAGCCTTGGATTCTCTGCAGGGTTGGTAAGCAACCCAGTGTGCCCTGGGAGGGAGGGGAGGTGGAGAGTGGAAGGGAGAGACCCTGTGGGTGTAGGTGACCCTCAGCTCTCTGTCCCCTGTCCACCCTGGCAGCTGCCACTCCCTCATGTGACAAGTGTTAAAGCCAGAAGAGATTTCAGGCCCATCGGTGCCCACAGAGGAATTCTATCTGAGCTTGTTTCCACACTGGCTTGCAGCTAGGGATCTGAATGGTGGTTCCGATGACAGCTTCTGCCTCGCTTTACCTTTTAAAGCCATGGCTTGTTCTAATCGTCGCAACCTACTGGGCATCCTGAACCCCAATACAAAGGGGATGGGAATGTTTCCTGTTGTGGTCTCTGAAGAACAGGAGGCTTCCAGGAAGAGGGTGGAATGGAACTGGAAAGAGTCAGCTACCATCTCCTCGGCAGGAGGAGAAACCCGAGATCTCACAGAAAAATCCAGCTCTCCTTGACAACTTGGAAAACGAGATAGTGGGCCAGTCCGAGGTGTGGTGGTTACCGTGGGTGGCTGGGTCCCACATGCCCGACTGTGCCGTTTGAGTCCTAGACTTGGAGGCTTGAACAACATGCCACATGTGTGTGCGTGCGTGCCCCAAATCCTGCGACCAAAATGGAGGAGAAGGGATTGTGGCATGGTCATCCCCCCCCAGCCCCGGGATGAGTCTTTCTCACTTTCCTTCTCTTTCTCTTGCTTTCTTACATTTTTTCTCTCGGTCTCTCTCAGTCAAGCACATGTGCCCTCTGGTAAAACAAAACAAAAACCTGATAGTAACAAGGCCTCACCGTCATCAGTCTGCTAAGGTGACCGTGCCCTTAGGCATTTGCCCCCCGGCCCCTGGAGGAGTGGAGTCTGCAAACTTTACCTTAGGGGTCGCAAGTGGAATCCTCTCC